AATTCTTGATTATTGTGCATCGAGAGATAGTGGTAGTTAGGAATTTATGATGCTTGATCTTGTTTTATTGGGTGTTTAAGCCACGACAGTGGAAATTCACTAGTGTTAATGACTACGAGAGTAGCTCTATACCACCTTGCATCCTCACACTTGTTAAACCCAGATTTTAATATTTTCCTTATGATTTGGCACTAGGTGATGATTAAATACTTGAATCCCATGAATCTCATCTTCTCTCTAATTGTTTTCAAAATCCTGAATCTCTGCTTTATTTTATTTATTTTATGCAAATCAATCATCTAAATAATTGTTAGGATTAGCTCTAATGAATAAATTAGTAACTAGTGCTTGATACAACCACTTCCTTGTGGATCGATAACTCGTACTTCGAGTATTATTTGTTTGCAAATATACTACGCATCAAATTGGCGTCGTTGCCGGGGAAGTAGCGTTCAGTATTAACATTATTGAAATCTTTATTCTAGGAGACTAGTCCATTTTTATTTTTTATTTTATTTTATTTTGCTAACACATAACAAGTTCATTGTTTTGAGTGTGATTTAGTTTATGGATGGATATGAATTTCAAGGAACCATGCCACCATTCTACCCTCCTTCTCAGGGTTATGAGATGAGTTGGAATATGAATCAAGAATATGGAGGAATGGAACAACAATTCCCTTTCTCAAATTTCACCAACTCAAGTCAAGAATATTTTCAAGATAGCTCATCTCATGCATCCATATCACAACCCCAATGGTGTTCCTTTTGTGGTGGGAATCACGTGGTGGAGAATCGCTACATATTCCACGACATACTCCACCCCACCAACAATGTTCCTCAACAACCTACTTAAGAATTTTGTGCCAACATGAGTCAAGCTACTAACCAAGGAGGCACATCACCGACTTCACAACTGTTAAGGAAAGAAATCACAGAAATCACAAGAAATCACAGAAATCACAGAAATCACATATTTCTTCTAGCAAATATTTTCTCTTGTAATCTTGGTTTCATTATTATTATTCTTATTGATTCTATTTCCTTTCTCTGTACCATATAGTTTGTATATATAGGGGTGTACATCTTTTGTAATGAACAACAGAGAATAATAGACAGTTCATACATTTCTTTACATGGTATCATTGCCAGGTTCTTGACCTACGCCCTCCCCTTGCATTGTTCCTGCCGTGTGCCGCTGCCGCCATGACAGACACGGAGGTCGTCGACGTTGACAAGAGGGACGCTAGCAATAACGATGACGATGTCACGATGGTACGTCGTCATCGTATCTCTCCATACGATCTTTCTCCCAGCGATAACCCGGGTATTCTTCTAACCCAAGTTGTTTTGAAAGGAGATAATTACGATGAGTGGTCTAAATCTATGAGACTTGCTCTTCGTGCCCGAAAAAAGTTCGGATTCGTTGACGGATCTATACCCTTACCTGTACCGACTTCTGATGATGTGGATGATTGGTGGACGAACCATTCATTGTTGGTATCCTGGATACGTAACACGATTGAACCAACGTTGCGTTCCACGATCTCTCATGTTGAACTTGCATCTACTCTTTGGGATGATTTGAAGGCCCGTTTCTCTGTAATTAATGGGCCACAAGTTCAACAACTTAAGCGCGAGTTGACGGAGGTCAAACAGAGCGGTCTCACCATAATGGCCTACTATGGTAAAATGAAGAAATTGTGGGACAATCTTGTTGATGTGGATCGTTATACTACTTGTGTGTGCCAAAAATGCACTTGCCCAATTGACGCTGCTTTAGACAAAAAACGTGAAGAAGAGCGTGTTCATCAATTTTTGATGGGCCTAGACGAAGGGGAGTATGGTTCTATTCGCTCACATCTCCTGTTGCTTGAACCCCTACCTACTGTGAGTCGGGTTTATAATATCTTGGTCCAGGAAGAGACGACTCGTGTCACGGTCCGTGGTACTAAAGAAGGCACTAGTGATGCTGCGGTCTTTGCAACTATCAAGGAGATTACATGCACCAACTGCAAGAAGCCCGGCCATACTATTGACACATGTTTTATGCTGATAGGCTATCCGGAAGGATGGTCTGGTGGTCGAAACGGAGGACGTGGTGGCTGTGGAGGAGGCCGTGGCAGCAACCGCGGCGGTGGGAGAGCCGGCAGGAATGACGGTCGCGGTATATCCGGACAGCATCCCGGTGGACAGGTGACAGCACATGCCGCAACCGCCAACGCATCATTCACTGCTTTTCCGGACTTCGACAATCTTATTCCTGAGCAATGGAATGCAGTTCGTCATGCCTTGTCTTTGTCTCCAACAAGGTCAACTTTGAACGAATCGTTGTCAGGTATTCCTTTACCTCGCTGGATTATTGATACAGGGGCATCAAATCACATGACAGGGAATATTAATTTATTGAGTAATATTCAACAAACAGACCCTTGTACCATTGGTTTTCCAGATGGAAGTGGGTTATATCAGTCAAATCAGGAACGGTCTGTTTGACGGACAATTTGATTTTGATGAATGTTTTATTTGTTCATGTTTTAAGTTGCAATTTGATATCTGTTTCCCAACTGACGAAGGACTCGAAATGTGAAGCACGTTTTACAGATAAATCTTGTGTATTACAGGACCTAAAGACAGCGATTGGTGTGGGTGAATATAGAGAAGGGCTTTACTACTTCAAACAAGATGGAAAACAAAAAGCATTTAATGCAGTTAAAGAGCATAGTTTTGATTTATGGCATAAACGTCTTGGACACCCCTCATCTCGTGTTTTGTCTTTTGTCCCTTTAGTATGCTCTAAAGAACAGTTGTTTAGCTAATAATTGTTGTGAGATTTGTGTACGTGCTAAACAATCACGTGCTAGCTTTCCTATTAGCATTTATAATTATAGTGGCATTTTTGACATGGTGCATTGTGATTTATGGGGGCCGTATAAAACACCAAGTCTAAATGAGTCTACATTTTTTTTGACAATCGTCGATGATCATTCTCGCGGAGTTTGGGTATATTTATTGCAGTCAAAACGCAATGTGGTCCCTATTTTCCAACAATTTTGTGCTATGGTGACCCGTCAATTTGAAAAATATGTCAAGTGTGTTCGGAGTGATAATGGGACAGAGTTTGAAGGGTTGAAAGAATACTTCCGTACACACGGCATCATATATGAAACATTTTGTGTTTCCACGCCTCAACAAAATGGAAGGGTTGAACGAAAACATCGTCACATCCTCAATGTGGCGCGGGCACTCCGATTTCAGGCTTCTCTAACTATAAAGTTCTGGGGCGAGTGTGTTCAAACAGCGGCATATCTCATCAACCGGACTCCTTCTTCTTTACTAGGGGGGGTTGCTCCGTTTGATAAAATTTATGGACGGGCTCCACCTTTATCTCACATTCGTGTTTTTGGTTGTAGATGTTTTGTGCATAATCAGAAGCGACATGGAGACAAATTTGCTGAACGGAGTATTCCTGGTATATTTCTTGGCTATCCTCCTAGCCAGAAAGGGTGGCGTGTTTATTGTCCAGACACAGGGAAAATTATTGTTTCACGAGATGTTATTTTCTCGGAGAATGTGTTCCCCTTTTCGTAGGAAATAAACGCAGACTCGGAGTCGCCACCTCCTAGCCAGGAAAACCTCATCCCCGAAGAGGAGGAGGAGTGCGAGGATAGTGTTCAGCCTATCCCCGGTGCCAGGACACCCGCCGAACTAGCCACCCAAACCAACGACCTGCCCGTGGGCGGTATTACTACCGGCAGAGACGAGGTGGCAGTCTCGGAGGTGGGCGGAACTACTGCCGGCAGAGATGGGATGGCAACCCCGGAGGTTCCAGTCCCTGTTCTAGTTGATCCGAGCCTTGATCAAGTTGCTGACCCCGATGCACAGGGTCGAGGACGGCGAACGCGTACTCCTAGTGTTCGCCTTGCAGATTATGTAACATACACAGTCATTGGAGCGCCCGGCACGTTGTGCAAGTATCCCATCACTACCTATATTGGGTATGACAAGTTTTCCTTGACTCATAAATGTTATCTTGCTTCTCTTGATACCGAAGTAGAGCCCAGAAATTTTCGTCAAGCAATTCAGTGTGAACCATGAAGGAAGGCTATGCGTGCGGAAATTGATGCTTTGGAGAAGAATGACACATGGACACTTGTACCTGCTCCTAGACACAAGAAGCCACTTGGGAGTAAGTGGGTCTACAAAATAAAAAGAAGATCTGATGGGAGCATTGAGCGCTACAAGGCACGACTGGTGATATTCGGCAATCATCAGGTTGAGGGTCTTGACTACAATGAGACCTTTGTCCCGGTAGTAAAGTTAACGACTGTTCGCACTCTTTTAGTTGTGGCTGCAACGGGTTCATGGGAGCTACATCAAAGGGACGTACATAATGCGTTCCTTCATGGTGACTTAGATGAAGAAGTTTACATGAGGCTTCCACCGGGGTTCGCACCGTCACAGTCCAACGTGGTGTGCAAACTCAAGTAGTACTCCTATGGAACCCAATCATCAACTTGCTTTATCTGAAGCCCCACTTCTCGATGATCCCGAACCATACCGTCGCCTAGTGGGGCGCCTAGTTTATTTGTCAATCACCCGGCCAGAGTTAGCCTATGCTGTCCATACTCTGGCTCAATTCATGAAGGATCCCCGTGATGATCATTGGAAAGCAGCGCTTGGAGTAGTACGCTATCTAAAAGGAAGTCCCAGTCAAGGTATTTTTCTATCCGCTAAAAATACTCTGCAATTAACTGGCTGGTGCGATTCCGATTGGGCAGCTTGCCCTTTGACTTGACGATCGTTGACCGGATGGTTCGTTCAGCTAGGCGACTCTCCCATCTCTTGGAAAACAAAGAAACAAACCACAGTTGCACGCTCCTCAGCCGAAGCTAAATACCGAGCTTTGGCCACAGTGACATGTGAATTGAAGGGGTTAAAAGGTCTTCTTCGTTCTCTCGGGATACACCATACGACTCCTATGCAGATTCGTTGTGACAGTACCGCTGCTCTTCACATTGCAGCGAATCCAGTCTTCCATGAACGAACAAAGCACATCGAGGTTGATTGTCACTTTGTTCGTGATGAGCTATTACAAGGTGTGATACAAACGGAGCATGTGTCTACGACACAACAATTGGTTGATATTCATACAAAGGCGTTGGGCAAGACACGCATGGAGTCTCTTATTCCAAAGTTGGGCATCTCTCTGTTACATGCTCCAACTTGAGGGGGGGTGTTAAGGAAAGAAATCACATAAATCACAAGAAATCACAGAAATCACATATTTCTTCTAGCAAATATTTTCTCTTGTAATCTTGGTTTCATTATTATTATTCTTATTGATTCTATTTCCTTTCTCTATACCTTATAGTTTGTATATATAGGGGTGTACATCTTTTGTAATGAACAACAGAGAATAATAGACAGTTCATCCATTTCTTTCAAGCAAACCGTATGGTGTTTCATATGTGTAGGACCTCATGAGGCGGAAAATTGCTTCATCTTGGACCCCAATTACCAAATTTGTGGGAAAGAGTTTAGGCAAATGTACAATAAAATAATGGAGCAAAACGCTCAAATGGATAACAAGAGAGCTCAATAGCAAGATTTGACAATTCAAGAGCCACTTCAAGATTCATTTAATGGAGAGATTCTAGAAGAGTTGCTTTTGCGAAATGAAGGTCATGAGATTGTGAGAAATAAAAATGATGATGAGGACCTTGAAAATGACAATGATGAGGTTATTGAGGAGTGCATTGAGATGGAGACACCAAACTGGGGAGAAAATGTAGAGTTGCAAGGGGATGCTAATAAGGAACAACTTGAAGATGGCCAAAGTGGAGAAGAGCTCAAGAATGAGGAAATCTGTGGCAAAATGAGGAATATCCTTCATTAGATGACACTCCCATTAAAGAAGACTTTAGAATAATTTGGGAACCGGGAAGTGTCAATGTTATTGAAAGTGGAGGCCCGCATTGGCCAATTTTCATGTCCAAAGATTCTTCCTTCTTATTGGTTCACGAAAAGGATCCAAGATTCCCCATACTTGCCAATGAAAAGGAAAATGAAGAAGAGAAAAGAAGTGGAGGCCAAGAAAATGATCAAGTTCATGGGTACTATCTAGATCCAAAGTTTAAAAAGAAATACGTGTTTGATTTATGGATCAAGAATGGTTTTGAAGAAGGAATGAGCATGATACTTGATTTGAAGAAATGTGAAATCATGATTTTTGTGGTGGTAGAGTTGAGCTTGAAGGAATTTATCAATGACTATCACTTGGAGAACTATCTTAAATTCAAAGTGGATAGGAAAAGTGGGATTTTTCTTCTCCAATCACTTGATGGCTAAAGAGGTAACGTCGACTAACAATGTTAGTTAAACTTAGCACTTCATCGGATGCACCCCATGTTATCTTTTATTGCTTTCCTATTTACTGCTTTCTAGATTCATTTTATTTAGTATTATTGTTTTATAGTTCGTGATTATTTTATTGCTTTTTAGTTTTTTCTTTTCTCTTGTTCTCATTTTCTTTTATTTTGCATCAGGGACGATGCAAATTTTTAAGTGTGGGGGAGGAGTCAATAATTTGGGGATAATTTTAAAATTTTTGTTTTTGCTTGGATGACTCATACGCTATTTTGGTGAATAAGTTACTTGTCTCAGCATGCAGTTACAATTACTCTCTCTTCTTGGTTTGTGGTTTGTTTTAGTGGTACTTGCTACATCTCAATTTGTGATTGATGATTTGAGATGTAACACATAATTCATTTATTCCCTTGCCAGTAGCTTTGTTAACCACTTAATAATTGCACTAATTCTTGATCTTGTGTGTTATGCATTGCTAATGAAGGCTTATGTGAGATTCCGGTCATGGGTGTTTTGCTAGAACTTGCCTCATTACTCCCTAAGTGATGTCTAAGTTTTTGCATGTTTGGAAGTGATTTAGGCTATCTTTTACCATCTATTATATTATTTTTATTTTAGTATTTTTTAATGATTTTCCTTATTTACCATCAATTATATTATTTTCTTTCCTTAAATAACCCTAAATTCTGTTAGTATAAACTTAGTAACTAAATATTCTGTTAACTATTTATTATTCTTAACATACTCATTAATTTATATAAGAAAGGTTTTAGGTTCGAACCTCATCCCAATTAGAGTTAAACATATATTATGAATATGTTAAAATGTATTAAAAATATATAATATAAAATTTAATATAAACTTTGGTCAAATAATTAGCATGACTAAATACATAGCATTAAAAGTTAGCATCAAAGATTATAAATCAGGAACTTTAAAAATAATTTGATTTTCTTTCTTTTAAAAAAAAAAATTATACAAATATAATAAATATTAATATTTTGTTCAATACTTTCACATGATAACCTACGACACACATCTCACAACAAATGAAACATGTAGGGGAAAAACTACCAATACTAAATATCAATAGGTGTTTGTAAGATAAAGTGTTCATATTACAACTAAAATCTCAGTCATATACACAACAAGGCAAATATAAAACTTCCTACACCATAATCCCATTGCATGATGAATCCCTCTATGCTGCCACCGGTAACCTAAATATTGCACATGACACACTACCAATAAAAAAAAAAAGATAGAACATGTACTGAAGATGAAAACAATGACAATGCTACCCAAAAGAGAATTAAGAAGAACTAGAGAAATTTAAACCAAGTATTTATTTAGACTATCGCTTTAAGACTAAGTATTTAGAGTAGCGTTATTACTGTAGGAAGTCAGTTGGTAGAAAAGGCTAATAATAATCAAATAAAATATGATTATTATTTTCTGGAAAGAGGGAAGAAAAGGATGAAGAAAACGGCTAGTGTTTGGTGTTGGGTTTTTGCAAGAGTCAAGTGAGCACTCTTTCCTTAAAACCTTATTTGCCACCTCCCAAAGATGCTAGGAGCATTGTGGTCTAGGCTTCCCAGGATAAAACTTGTTGGCGATTCAATGTTTGAGCACTCAAACAAAGAATCCGGCGAGCAAAGACAAGGTCTTGAACACAGTGGGCTTAGAAAGAGGAGTAGAAGCAGAATTTTGAGGCTGGAAAAACAATGTTTCGTGTACCATTTTCTGTGTGTGAAAATCTGTTTCTCACTGCTTCCTCTCTTATGTAGGAGTGAAGGAGTCAATAGCTTTTAATATGACAATCAAAACTGACATTAAAGCTGACTTCCAACAGCTATAACAGCAGACCATGTCACTACCTGGGAATTGAATTCAGAATTCAAAATTGGAGTTAATAGGATATTAATTCCATAACAGATGAATTCAATCCCCATAACAGTCAGAACTTTTGGGTTCCAGACCGTTGGCGTACAGGGTTTGGTCTCAACTTTCGAGTTGTGCTCTCGGTGCACCACAACCTCTCGTGCTCTGTTGTAGCACGAGAGTGGTGCTCTCGATTTCGACTATATCGGTTGGAAAATAATGCCGGCGCACACGATCTTGGGCTTGAATCAAGCTCGTCTAGTTGGAATTTGATTTGCACCCCCCCCCCACGCGCGCACGAGAGAGCCTGTTAGGAATATATTGTAAATTTTGATGAGCCGAATGTATTTTTTGAAAAATCAAGTAGTCCCCGTTTTTATTCTATTTGAGTCAGTCTTGGTCTACGGAGTATGATGCACCCATATCATGCAACCCATGTACAAGTATGGAAAATCATAATTTGATTTTAGATGTTAAGCGGGATTATAGCTTAACATAATTATGTTGCGGATAAGTCACCAAGAACCATGCTAGAGGAGTTGGATGAAACGCGTGTGAGCTATGCCAAGTGATCCTATGTTCGAATCTCAAGAGACTAGCTTGGACAGTATGGGAGACTAGCTCAAAGTATACCAAACCGTATGGGAGACATACTCAAGTGTATTGAGTGTATTGGAGACTAGCTCACATGGAGACTAAGTAAGGAAAATGCACCAGATGGAGAAACACACCAAGCATGGTGGACCAAGCTTAAAAACGAAAACAGAGCATCACACCATGAACAACTATGAAGTTTTTATAGAGGTTCCTGTATATTATTTTACAAGGATCATGAAGGAGAAAATATCTGATATATTTTCATCTGAACATCAAGTTTTTACGGTGGAAGCGGAGACGCTCAAAGAAGGCTGATTCGGGGAGAAATTATTTTATACTCAAGCAAGAATCAACAGATAAATTATTTGATCAACTTGACATGTCAGAACATTTATGAAGGACAAGAAATATCAAGCTTACCGCGCCGAACTTATTCAAATTTTGGAGGCTACAAAATTCAAGACACGGCAACGGGCAAAATATTCAAATCATCTGACAAAAGGAGAAATGACATCTACCTACTATTTCAGATCAAGTTGACAATATTATCTGATCAACTACAATTCAAAATGGACGATCAAGATCGAAAGTTGATCAACGGGCAAATAGCTTTCTTTGGCTATAAATTGTACAAGCAGACTTGAAGACAAAAAAAAAAAAAAAAAAAAAAAAAAAGAGACGAACAACACTTGAACAACAAGGAAAATTATCCAATCAATCGTCAAGTGATATATTGAGCTATACACGAAAGAATTCAAGTGTGAGTGAGAGAAATCTTTGTATTTCATTGTAAATCTTCTACTGAGTGTAGAAAAGGGTAGAGTAACTGGAGAGAGTGAAAAACTCAGTTGGAGTGTAGCTTTGTGCGTAGCACTCGGTGTAAAGGGTAGAGTAACAAGGGGAGCTTGTGAAAACCCTGTGAGAGCATAGCTTTGTGCGCAGTTCTCGTGGTGTAGGAGTACAGCTTGGTGCGAAGTACTCGGGAAGGCGGAGTAACAAGAGGAGCTTGCGAAAAACCTTGGTGGAGTGTAGCTTTGTGCGAAGCACTCGGAGAAGTGTCACTGGGCACTTATTCACTATTGTATCTAGGTGATCGAAGAATAATGAATTTTCCTCCTTGGAGTGAAAGGAGAAGAGTGGACTAGGAGGATTACACCACCTCTGAACCACTATAAATCTCTCTCTCTATTTACTTACTGCTCATATATTTTGTGCATGCTTATTCTAACT